TAATCAACCTGATAGTTTAACTAAATATAAAAAAACATTTTAAACATTTGCCCTTTTCACTGTAAGTTTCTGTCAGGTTTAATCACAGAGAAATATAAATTTACTCTGTTCCTGTGATCCCTGCACTTACAGGGTAAGTCTATTCACCACCACACTGAAATTCACACCCCATAAAGCATTGCCTCTCTGCATGTGGCTTCACTTTGATCATTGAAGGGAGACAGAGCCATTAATGAAAGGGGTATATGTGATTTAACACTTTATAGTAAGGTTTCATAGATGGCTTTCTATGCTGTTTTTAATTTGGGTTTGTATGACCGCTACTGAATAATGCAATGATCCTGTGGCAATATCTGTACTTTTAACACAGAAAAACACTTTAAATACAATAAAAATAAATCTCTAAAGAAAGTGTTCTTAAAGACGTGTTTCAATGTTAAAGATGACATAAATAGCAATAAAAACAGAGCTTGATGATCTACGTGCAGATGTACAGCAATAATATGACTATCCCATATTCATAGAAAAATCTGACTCACAGTCTAAGGTTTACTAATAAACAAGAAAAAAGGCACTCACATCTCGTTGCCGATCTGTAGTCTGATACAGGCACCATAATAGTCTGATACACATGCCCCATGTCAATCTCCTGTCTGATTCGCTCAGTCTTCAAAACTGCAACTTGCAGATGAAAATAAAAAAAACTAATTTGGTCTTACTGCAGGCTGAATGAAAAAGTAAAAAATTACATAACAGCAAAGTCAACAATATTGGCAAAGATCACATGGTGCTTGCCATTATATATTTGTGTCTCAAAATGAGGGCTAAGCTGACACATTCCTATATCCAGTAAACCAGGGCTGTACATGGACAGGGCGCTGAAGCTTTATTGCATGGGCAAAAATGCAGTGGCTTCTCTGAATGACAACATGTTAGTTGTCTTCTTGCGATGTTGGAACACAAAGCTCAAATTGAGCCTGTTCCACCAGGTTAGGTATCATGTGATTGTTTATTTAAAGCATATTTTATATTTTTTTGTATAAAAGAAAAAAGACATTTCTGTGCAACAATGTAAAGTCAACAGTATGTGTTATAATAACACTGCAATAGTGATGTCCCGAACTGTTCGCCGAACGGTTCGCAAACGGTTCGCCACGAACAGTTCGCCATGAACAGTTCGCCACGGACTCATCATTGAGTAAACTTTGACCCTGTACCTCACAGTCAGCAGACACATTCCAGCCAATCAGCAGCAGACCCTCCCTCCAAGACCCTCCCACCTCCTGGACAGCTCACTAAGAATGCAGCTTCACAATGGATGCTGTCCAGGAGGTGGGAGGGTCTGGGAGGGAGGGTATGCTGCTGATTGGCTGGAATGTGTCTGCTGACTGTGAGGTACAGGGTCAAAGTTTACTCAATGATGAGTCCACGGCGAACCGTTCGCAGCGAACAGTTCGGGACATCACTACACTGCAATGCTTAAGAAAGCAATTGTACCATGAGTTTATTAAAAAAAGAAACTAAGAGATAGCTAACGTTTAAGTGTAGAGTTAGTAATCACAGATTTTAGGTCCTCAGCAGAAAAGGTGAGGAGTGTTAAAATGTAGAAGTTGTCTATGAGTTAAAATAATTGGAAGTATGCATTGTGCATCATTTTTCCGACTAAAATTTAACTAGCATTGAACTATAAAAAACATGAGTTGAGGGGAAAAAATGGGGCCAAACAAGTTGCTGATGTAAACAAGGGGTTAGTTGAGAGGGGATAGAGTAAAGTGAAAGAGAGAGAAGGGTAAAAAGAAAATAGAAATGGGATTAAAGAAGTAGTTGTGCTTAATTAAAAAAATGTTTAAAAAAGTATAAATAAAATAAAATTAGCAGTTCTTAAAGAATCATCAGTTTTATATTTATACATTGTTTAAATATTTATTATAAAAACTCTTATCTAGAGTTCTTTTACACTATTAGTGATATGCAGTACAAAAGAAAGAAGAACCCTGTCTATGAGCTTGTAATCTAGTATATGGAGTGATTTTATACAAAGTGCTTAGCTAGATGGCCCACAAGCTTTGAATTTCAGGGAGATAATGGAGGCTAAAAGAAATGGTATTAGAGAAGATATTCAAGTTGATGGCTAAAGATTTTAAGGGTCAGCAATGCTAATACTGTTTAGGATGTGAACAATTATGGTGTTAGTGAAAAGATTAGAATGCAATCGATTTCAGACATACAAAGAATAATGTTCTATAAACTAGTTGGTGGGCTTGGTATTCTAGGGATGCTAATGTATTGGGTCTCTCACAAGAGATGGAATTCAAACAGCAGATATGATGTAAAAAAACTTGGGTAAAGAAATAGAAAAAGGGAAATAGAATCAATAAGAAAATGTTTGACCTTTCTTAGCTGCATTTTATAAGGGAGGAGCAAAGTAGAAGGGATTAAGAGAATAAAAGGTTAAGGAGAATGTACGCATATACAGATGCATGCTTTTTAGAATGAAAGCATTGCAAAACAGTTGGTCTCAGATAGACAGATAAATAGATAGCCAAGTTAACAAAAACAACAAAACTAGATGTACATATGAATGAAGAAACAAAGAAGTTTGGTCCCCTCAAAATCTTTAACAGCATCCACATGAGAAAACACTTACTGAAATGTGAAAATAACACAGAAGAAACATGTGGTATAACTGAAAGCAATATGAAGTGCTTTGATAGTAGCTTTTAAAAAGATAACTCTATTACAAAATATTTTAGAAGTTAAGAACTTGAATGTCTAGAGTAGTTTGTGTTCAGGTGTGATGGACATGTATTTAAAGGCTCAGCTTTGGATGGAGGTCAGTAAAAGTTATATTTTGTAAGTGAGCTGTACAGCTGATTAGAGAGAAGGTTTCCCAATTTTTGAAGGAAATGCACTTTTCAAAATAGAAATGGGGGGAGGGGGGTCAGAAAGCAGATTCGATAGAGTTGTGCCTAGGAGAAAGAATGTTTGCTATAAAATGTGTAAGAACTATCTTGTCTATACTTTTTTATTATTTTCTTTAATTTTATATATATATATATATATATATATATAAATCTTTAAAGAAAGTGTTCTAAAAGGCGTGTTTTAATGTTAAAGATGACATAATAGCAATAAAAATGGAGCTGGATGATCTAAGTGCAGATGTACAGCAATAATATGACTATCCCATATTCAGAGAAAAGTCTGACTCACAGTCTAAGGTTTACTAATAAACAAGAAAAAAGGCACCTGACTTCTGTTAATAATCTATACTCACATCTTGTTGCCGATCTGTAGTCTGATACAGGCACCATAATAGTCTGATACACATGATCTTGGAGTCTATAATGCCTAACAGGAGTTCCCATGTTGTGGAGAGGCAGGAAACTCCAATATCCAAGGGCATATGAGTCAATATATGAGCAATAATCAGAAGGGAATTAGAAACAACACCAGAGGATCAAAACACCAACTACTGGTAGACTAAGCAGTCACAAGGGATTCCAAGACCAGACAGACCAATCTGTGCATGGCCTGGATTGACTACAAGAAAGTCTATGACACAATGCCACACACATGGATACTGGAATGCTTGGCTCTCTACAAGGTCAGCAAAACAATAAGAGCCTTCATCAAGAACTCGATGGGCAAGTGGAAAACAGCTCTAGAAGCCAATTCCAGGACAATAACTGAAGTGAACATCAAATGTGGCATATACCAAGGTGATGCGCTATCCCCAATGCTGTTCTGCATAGGCCTTAACCCCCTTAGCCAGATCATCAAGAAGAGTGGATACAGATACAGGTTCAAGAGTGGAGCCACCATCAGCCACCTATTCTACATGGATGACATTAAGCTGTATGCCAAGAATGAGTGAGACATTGACTCACTGATCCACCTAATTAGGATATACAGCAAGGACATCGGAATGTCATTCGGACTAGAGAAGTCCTGGTGGATGATAGCAAAAAAGAGGGAAACTGATCATTACAGAAGGAGTTGAAGTTCTAGAAGGCCAAATAGAAGATGTAGATAACAGCTACAAGTACCTGGGAGGTACTACAAACGCATGGCAACCATGAGGAAGAGGCAAGGAGGATAGCAACATCCAAGTACCTCCAAAGAGTCAGACAGGTCCTGAAGTCAATGGCAAGAACAAGATCCAAGCCATCAACACATATGCCCTACAGGTCATCAGGTACCCAGCTGAAATAATGAAGGTTGGAGGTTCCTTGGCTAGACAAACCTCTCCATGGGGTGTACCATCAACAGATAGTGGATGTGGCTCACATGACAAAATCCTACCAGTGGTTGGAAAAGGCAGGACTGAAAGACAGCACCGAGGCACTAATCCTAGCAGCACAGGAACAGACTCTTAGCACCAGATCAATAGAAGCTGGAGTCTACCACACCAGGCAAGACCCAAGGTGCAGACAGAGCAAAGAGGCCTCTGAAACAGTCCAGCACCTAGTAGCCGAATGCAAGATGTTAGCAGGAACAGCATACAGGGAGATCCACAACAAAGTTGCTGGGATTTTGTACCGAAACATCTGTACAGAATATGGATTGGACCTGCCTAAGTCCAGATGGGAGATACCACAAAGGGTAGTTGAGAATTACAGGGCTAAGATCCTGTGGGACTTCAAGATCCTGACAGACAAGCAAGTGCTGGCCAACCAACCCAACATCGTCGTGGTAGACAAGGAACGAAAGACTGAAGTCGTGGTGGATGTGGCCATACTCAGTGACTATAACATCAGGAAGAAGGAACATGAGAAGGTGCAGAAATACCAAGGATTGAAAGAATAACTAGAAAGGATGTGGAAAGGGAAGGCAGTAGTAGTCACAGTTGTAATAGAAGCACTCAGGGCTGTGACTCCCAAGTTGGGAGAGTGGCTTCAACAGATTCCAGGTGGGACATCTGATATTGCTGTCCAGAAGAGTGCAGTTCTAGGAACAGCTAAGATACTGTGCAGAACCCTAGAACCCGAGAATGAGGAATAAAAAGACCACCCAGGAAGGGTGAGAAAATCAATCAATATATATATATATATATATATATATATATATATATATATATATTGATTTTCTCACCCCTCCTGAGTGGTCTGTTTATTCCTTATATATATGACTGGACATAAGAGCATTAAGCAGAAGACAATTTTCCTTCTCTCAAATCCACTAAGAAAAAAGAAATTCAAAATGTTAGCATAATTGTGAAAGAAAAGGGAGGAATAAAAAGAAATAACATTAATAATATAAAAATTAACTAATTAAGCACAAATATGTCAAGCAAACACAAAACAACCATGCAAGTCCATAAAAAGATAATTGTTAGAAAGTGACAAAATAAAAAATATTGAAATAATAGAGAAAAGATGATGATGAGAATGATTGTTTAATTTTACTTAACATTCTGACAATAACTATACCTTTTACAGTGGAATGATAGTATTGAACTCAACTTAATATATATATTTCTTTGACAAGTATAAGAAGTATATATATATTCCACTAAACAATTTAAAACACATTATTCAATTAAACCCAAAGAAGCAGGGTAATTGCAATGTAAACAACTATAAAATAAAAAATAAAATAAATATTTATATTGATCATCAGAAAAAAAAAGATCAGACAGAGGTTTCCCGTAAAATAACTTAAAAGGCATAATATTATATGTTTGATGGAAATTAAAAAAATACTGTTGTGGATCACCTGCATATCTCAAGTCGGACCTCGAGAAAGTCAACGTTGGCACATTTCCTAGCTTGAGATACGAATGAGCACAGATAGGCATTGAGTTTCAGACTTCATCTTGCATTTCTGAAGACACCATTAGCTATGGAATGCTGTTTTAAAGAGCTTTTTCAACCAAAGCATAGGTTTTAACAACCATGTAAATAGTGAAATAAGGCACATAAAGTAACATCCAGTCCAATTTTTTCCATAATATATATATATATACATATATATATATATATTAAATATATGAAACCAAGAGGGCTGCACTCACCCTGAAAAAAATGTATACATGTAAGGCTACCGATTGGGCCAATTTATTCAAAATAAACAATCCAGCACTCTCGCTCATTCACTAAGCCGCAATTTCAAGTCTCAAAGAATGTTTTATTTAAAAACCCCTAGCCTAGTCAAAAAATAATGGGGGATTAGTTACAGTATATGATCATATATTGCATAAGCTTGCCACAACATCAATGTACCCATTCTTACTCTAGACACCTAATGCCTGCTTTTATGAGATGAATCCACTTACTTGGGAAATGCTTCCTCTAGGGACTCTCTGCAGGTCAAGTTTAATATATACATACATATTGTGAACAATAAGAGAACAATTAGAAGACAATACCTTACAGCTTTGCACCATTATAGGAATGATGCAATTTTCATGAAAGTGACATCATATAAATTAATTACAACATTTTCCCGCACATCTCAAAAAGCACATTTACCAATCTTATGGTTAAATAGGCATAATATGGACACAATTACATAAAATAGACTATAAAAACAAGCGCTACTTCTAAAGATAACATAATGGTATAAGGTTTTGCAATACCATATGGTCCTCCAGATCAAAAGTGAAGTTTGCCGACATTACCATGCATTGCCACGAGGAATGAGGAGACACAACCCCAGATAAAACATAAAGAAACTCCATATTCAAACACTGCACTGCCGTGGCAACCAAATGACAAATGCAGTCAACAAAATACCAAGATACTACTAGTAACAAGCTCTCCTAATAACTCGATAGTCAAGTAGTATCCAAGGAGACGCTATTAGAGTTATTAGTTAACCATTGGACAAGTTTATCTGACATTATATTATGACTATATTTAAGTTTTAGTTTGAACATATTAGAAAACAACCAGATTTTCTTATTTTGTCATCAAACTGATTTCACATTTTACTATTAAACCCTACACTTTTCTCAAATCTGATATTTCAGACTACTTCAGATGCTCTAAATAACATAATAGTCATATATTGAAAATTAATATCGACACCCACAAGAGTGAAGAAATAATAAGGTTAGTTGTATAGTTTAATAGTTTTAGTAATGTATTGTTTATTCTGAAGTATGTAGCTATGTTTTAGCAAACTTTGTAAATTACAGTTACCTTTTTGCTCTCTTATGAGCTCAGTTGTTGATATGTTTCACAACAAAGACTAATTTTCAAATTCTCCACAACACATGCATTTTACAATATTAAGGGTTTCTACACTGATCAGCCACAACATTAAAACCACCTGCCTAATATTGTATAGATCTCCCTTGTGCTGACAAAACAGGTTTGATGCTTTCAAGTATGGATGCCACAAGACCTCTGAATGAGTCCTGTGATATCTGGCACCAAGACATTATCATCATATCCATTAAACCCTACAAGTTGCAAGGTGGGACCTGCATGGATCGGATTTGTTGTTCCAGCACACCCCACAGTTGCTCAATTGATTGAGATCTAGGACATGTGGAGGCCAAAGATCACCATGAACTCTTTGTCATGTTTCTCAAACCATTCCTGAACAATTTTTGCAGTGTGGCAGGGTACATTATTTTACTGAAAGAGGTCACTGCCATCAGGGAATAGTATTGCCATGAAGGGCTGTACAATATCTGTAACAATTTCTAGGTTGGTGGTACGTATCAAAGTAACATCCACATGAATACCAGGGCCCAAAATTTCTGAACAGAAAATTGCCCAGAGCATAACACTGCCTCTGCTGGCCTTCCCTTAGTGCATCCTGCTGCCTTCTCTTCCCCGAATAAACAATGCACACACAGCCGGCCATCCACCTGATCTAAAAGAAAACATGATTCATCAGTCCAGGCAACCTTCTGCCATTGCTCCATGGTCCAGTTCTGACGCTCACATCTCCATTGAAGGTGCTCTCAGCAATGGACAGGGGTCATTATAGTCACTCTGACTCATCTGCATTTCTATCATTGGCAGTATCTACTTTTTTCAGCAATTTGAGCTACAGTAGCTCTTCTGTGTGATCACACCAGATACATGCTTCAATGAGTCTTGGGTGCCCATGACCATAACATAACATGGGTTCACCAGTTATCCTTTCTTGCTCCACTTTTGGTAGGTACCAACCACTGAGCAGCGCGAACACACCACAAGAAATGTTGTTTTGGAGACGACCTGACTGAAAATTCTAAGTGAATTCAAAGTCAGTTTTAAATTTAAGCCATCATTTGGCCCTTTGTCAAAATCACTCATTTGTTTTCACTTGCCAGTTTGTCCTGCTTCCAACACATGAAAATCAAGTACTGACTTTTTACAAGCTGCCTAATATATCCCACCACTTGACAGGTGTAATGATATAATCAATATTATTAACTTGTCAGTGGTTTTAATGGTGTGGCTAATCTGTGTATATACACTACTTTCATTGTTTTTTCAACTTCCTTATCAGTGGTCCCACTCTTTCCTTTACTCTTCACTCAATATATTTACTACAACTGGATCTACATTAAAATATGTTTTAAAATATAATACCTATCTTACAAAACACAGAGCATATTTATCTAATCTTTCTATTTTTTTTTGCTGTTAATGTCTCCCATATGTACCTTCATTAAAAATGTCTTGTAACTTTGTACCAGTCCACATATGTGGCTCATGAAAAGGAATTATTTTCAAAGAGATTACACAGGTGTAGGACCTTCAATGAAAAAAAAACTAGTGAACATTGACAGGATATAGTCACAATTATATCAGAGGCCATTGCAATGTATTACAATGCAATGTGTCGGAACCATTTGGGAAGATATAAAAATCGTATTATTTTGTCTGTAGCTTATGGGTTTTACTTCTCATTCACTGAAAGTGCCTGTGGAGCAATAAATCAAATACACATGATGCTTTAAACTTGAATCAAGAACAATATACTATCTAGAATACATATTTAAAACATAAAAACAAACAGCTTTACAAGGTGTATTTTTATTGTTGAGAATAGAATAAGTCTTACAAGGGAGATTGTGCTGTTGCAAGGCTAAAATACTGTAATTCTACATGGTTTGATAAAAATAATTTATGTATAGCTTATAACAGAATCTGATCTTCAAATATCTTAATTTGTTCTGAACGTTTCAGTCATAGAAGATTTGATTACATGAATATATCTAGTATTTTAGGTTAACTTAGAGGGTCATTATTAAAAAAAAAAAAAAAAAACACTCAGTGCATAATGCTCAGTGGCACTGGGAATGGGCCACATTTTACTTCAACTAACTATTACAGCTAAAAGATAAATCAGACAAATGTGCACATCAATAAATAGGATTACACACACACACACACACACAGTATTGTATTTTCTGGTGGTGTAAAATACTGATCTAAAGTTGCTCTAAATTGCTGATGGCTGCAATGACAATAGGCATCACAGAATGGATACAAAGGCAGCAATGATGGGTGCAAGAATGGAGAGCACCAAACACATTGCACTCAGTAATATGCTTCTTGCCTGGTCTAATTTCTCCAGTTGGACCAGTAAGTAATTCTATCCAGAAAAGAACTGAATAGTCATCACAGTTCACATCACGAGCAGCTGAGACATCACAGCCACAACAGAATCTACCCATATTAGAGGGCTCCTTGTCTATTCGCATCCAGTATCAGCATCCTCTGTTTTAAGCACATTGACATGAAACACTCATCTCATGTGGGCACTGACAGTGTTTGCATACAGTGGGAGCTAAAGTCAGAGGAGTGGGCAGTAGTTGCATTAGAAGAAAAATGACAGAGAAAACTCAAGCAGAAGTTAGTTATAATTGATATAATTGTGATTTTATTCACTGATATATGTGCATATGTATATTGGAATATCAGTTGAACATGTCTCTTAATGGAACACTATAGGGTCAGAAACACAAACATGTATTCCTGACCCTATAGTGTTTAACCCACCATTTAGGTGGCTTGGACCCCCCCTTAAGCCCCTATAAAACTTTAAAACTTTAAAACTCATTATTTCCAGCGTAGCAGGGGTCTGCAGGTGCTGGCTCTGTTCCCTCTGAGACATCGTCATAATGGCCGATTTTTAGCCAATCCAATGCTTTCCCATAAGGGGCGGGCCA